ACCGAGGATCTCGCAGTCCCACCTGAAGACTTGGGACTTTATTCTGCACGCTGGTTTGAGATGCCGGGTTGTTCTGGCGCATGAAACTCTAAAGATGAAACCTTCCGAAGCCAGAAGCGAGCACCGCTCCTGTGCCAGCGGAGGAAAAATTTTCTTTTTTTTCCCTTTTATTTGTGCATTATCGGCGTTCATTTATTGGAACTGAGATCTGCGCAGTTCCAAAATTAATGTGTGGGAGAGGCAAAAATGATGCGAGCCAGGCAGGAGTCGAACCTACAATCTTCTGATCCGTAGTCAGACGCGTTATCCATTGCGCCACTGGCCCCGCATAGCGGCTGTAGGCTCTGCCTCCGCCCTGAGGCCGCCCCCGCGCGCGGGCCGCCCCCCGCGGGGCTTCTGCGCATGCGCGCGGCGGCGCCGCCTTGTTGTGCGGCGGCGGCGGGGCGGCGGGCAGGTCCCTTCGATAGCTCAGCTGGTAGAGCGGAGGACTGTAGAGGCGCSCGCCCGCCCGCGGGAATCCTTAGGTCGCTGGTTCGATTCCGGCTCGAAGGAGACGTCAATGTTTTTATCCCCGGCGTGCAGATGCCCCTGTTTTGTGGTTTTGTCCCGTTAGGCACTGCTTAACAACATTTGTCCCACTGCATAATCACAAGGGTTTTCCCCCACAAAGACACTTCTCGACAGGATGCCCTTTTAACAGATGCAGATACACACAACCTTACAAGGTTACCCTTGTTATAAGCTGAGCCCCGGAGCAACCATGGGCTGCTGCTTGGGCCCGCTGTCCGTCCCGCTAGCGGAGGACATGGAGCCAGCTGCCAGGTAGCCAGAACCAACAGGGTTTAAAGCACAACAAGAGGCGGATTGTTCTTATCGCAGGTCACCACAAAGCACGCGGAGCAAGTCGGTGCATGAGGGCGCCTCCAAGATCCCTTTGTCTCCTCTCCCTTAATTGGGATGTCGAAACTCTGCGGGTTTTTCTTTATTTCAGAGCCTCCCCTCTTTTCCCCTAGATGTCTAGACAGTATTTTCCCGCAATCAGGAAGCATCTTGGCATTTGCATACTGCCGCAGCAGGAACGCGTCCCCATGCCAAGCCAGGTGATAGTCAGCAAGCGCTAACTCCCAGCAGCGGGAAGCGGCACCTTTGCCAAGCACCTTTCCGAGAATGCCACGCACATAGGTGCTGGCTCCAGCGGAAATCCACCTGGATTGTCCTGGACCAGCGCTTTGCACCTCCTTGGACAGGCAGCACCTGTGTGGGGACCCGCAGGTCGCCTCTTTTCCCTGTCTCASGCCCCCCCTGAAATACCAACGCAGGGCACTGGGAGCAGCAGGTTTCAGTCTCTGCTGCTGCCATTTCATGTTCTGGTTGAGAGCTGACCCCATCGTGCTGGACTCGGCACTTGGCTGCATGTCCAAGGAGCTGCGGGACACAGGGCAGGGATGCAGCCCATCACCCTCTTCTTATGATGTATGGAGGGAAGGGAAAGGCTGGCTTGCACCTGGGCTCTTTCTCTACTTGCTATCAGCACAATGCACATTTTCATATCTGTAGAAAACTGCAGGACAGAAATCAGKAATTTTACCTGTGTTCGCTTTTGCATGCTTGTCTTTTGTGTTTAATACTTTAGGTTATCGTTCTTATGAGAGGTAAGCAATGAAAGTAAATGACAAGCAGTCATTTTATGTGTGTTAAATTAAGCATAGTCGCTTATTGTTTAATCTTGTAGAAAGGAAAGTACAGTTACTTAAATTACTGGTTATACTGATGGTAATTCTAAATCTGAGATTTTTATTCCATTTTCTATTTTGAGTAACTTGCGGTATGAGTTATATTAAGCACTTAAAAGGACAGATCTTAGAGAAGATGCCCTGCTGAAGCAGTTGTCCATTATGCATTTTTCAAATGGTTTTTGGTGGTCACAGAGACTGAAGACCACAGTAGTGGGAAATATTCCTGCCGTGTATCAGGCCAGAAGTTCTGGCACTTCACGCTGGCTCTTGGACAGACACAAAATCCGTGAATGAGATCCCGACCTCGGCCCCGATCGGCCACGGCAGCCTCGGGATTTCACTCACCACGCTGGCCCCTCGCTGCAGAAAACCACCCCATACAGAAGCCTACATCATTAAACCCCTGTGCAGCTCTCTGCAACCACATGTCTAAATTTTCTTAGCCATTTAGCCAGAATCTTAAATTTCTTTCTAGATGCGGATGGGCAAGCCAGGACGCACTGGTAGCGTGTGGCTCTGGCCCTGGCTAGTTTGCATACAGAGGCTCACCTGGTGCAATCCAAGACCCAGCTCTTCTGGGAATGCTGAGCCGTCACTTACCACTTGTCAGGGTGGAAAGATGCAATTTTGGACAGCGATTTCAACAGGTTTTCTAGCTCTTACTAGAATAMTGTTGCTCATTGTGTGGAAAAGTGAAGGGAATGTTACAGTTCATACATACAGCCTTTATTAGTCGGACATTTTATTGTTTGACAGCAATGGTGGATTTGAATATATTGTGCTTTACTTATAAATAAATGTAGCAGAACAGAATAAAAATGTGAGGAAGCATACTCTTTGACAAGACTAATGGGAGTGCAGCTGAACTTTACACAGAAACACGTAGGCTATGTTCACTTTAGGAACTTCTCTGAAAAGCAAATGAAGGAGTAAAATCACATCGAAGAGCCAAGTCCTGAAATCCCTAAAGTTTTTCCATGCATCCTCAGAATAGCCAACCCTGACAGCTGTGAGAGTGGCAAATATTCTGATGGTCTGAAAACTAAGTTGCCTTTTTGGAACAAAATCATGGGTTCAGACACCAAGATTTTTAGGTTGCAAACACCAAAGATCCTATTCAGAGGTCATTGGTTCAGTTTTTGAGGTTTCTGGCTAACTAAGGTAAATATATTGTGGTTTATCTGTAAAGATCCTCATTTCAGTGAAAAGCTTTGCAAACATGCAGCAGCTTGTCTGTATTTGCATCATACCGCAGGATCAAGTCCTAAATCTTTCCTGAGAAAAAGCTCTCATTTAGAAAAAGTGAGTAAGAACCACAGGATGTAGCAAATGGAAATCACTTCCTTGATTTCAGTAATCTTCGGACAGCTCTGCTGGGAATCGTTGCACACTTTCACAGCAAATATCTCCACCCAACAGTGAAACCTAAGAAATCCTTTCTCTTGTATAATACATTGTTTACCACATACTCTCTTTACTCCATGGCATGATGATAACATCAAGGGTTAAAAGCAGCATTTCTTTGGAGTTCTAGTGCTATGAAAGCACCGATTTCTCACATATTTAGCTGCCACTGAGTGACATTGGATGTGAAAGGTGAGAACAGGAGGAAGACAATAATGTTTCACAACCACGGAATACAGTTTTAAAGCAAAAAATTTACACTTTTGACTAACTGTCTTCTTGCTGGTGTATATAATGTAGTGGTACCTTACATTCCCCTTTGGACTGCAGCACTGTGACTGCAGGAACAAAAATAGCAGATGTACCGAGCTGACAGTGATTGATGTAACGTAATCAATAAAGAGAACTTCAGCTGTCTCTGCTCTGTCACACCAGCAAAGTGGTAAGTTTGGGATCTCAGAAGCACTCCTTTAGCTCTTGCAAACTGAGGGCCTAACTTCTTTCTGCTTGCTTTAGCTGTATCCATGTGCAATTCCCATGACGTGCCTGGAGATGCATCGGATTAGTTTTAAGGATACAAGCAACCAACACATTTTTGCTCAAAACTGAGTGTTCTGTGTATTCAAGGATGTGCTATTTACCTCAGCCATAGCTATTTTTTAAAGACAGTGCCTGGGAGAGAGGAGAAGACCTGGACACGCACCTAGGAAGGGGCTCCAAAGAGACCGCTCACTTTTGGAGGAGAGAAGGCTGAGAGGGGATCTGATTAACATGTACAAATAAATGAAGGGAGATTGAAGGGAGGAGGGGGCCAAGGGCCAAGCTTTTCTCAGTGGTGGCCAGTGACAGGACAAGGGGTAATGGGTGCAAGTTGAAACACAGGCAGTTCCAATTCCACGTGAGGAGGAACTTCTTCACTGTGAGGGTGCCAGAGCCCTGGAACAGGCTGCCCGGGGAGGCTGTGGAGTCTCCTTCTCTGGAGATGCCTCCTGGATGCCGCCCTGTGCCCCGTGCTCTGGGTGTCCCTGCTGGAGCAGGGGGTTGGACTAGATGATCTCTAGAGGTCCCTTCCAACCTCAGCCATTCTGTGATGCTGTGATTCTTCCCACTGTGTCCTTCCCTGCCAAGCGCTGGCCTGCCCAGCACAGCCTGAGCACTATGGCTCCCATCCTGGTACCAGCGGGGAACCCATCCCAGTACCAGCAGGGATCCCACCCCGGTACCAGCAGAGATCCCATCCCGATGCCAGCAGGAATCCCACCCCAGTGCCAGCAGGGATCCCATCCTGGAGCCAGCAGGGATCCCACCCCGGTACCAGTGGAGTGCCTGTCCAGGCCGCAGCCAAACCTACCAGTCAGCAGGAGCTTGTTGGCCAGGCACAAAGCTGCTGCTCCAGCAGCAGTTTGTTGGCCACTTTGCAGCACATCGCTCCCGAGGTCTCATTTGAGGTCTGCCAAAAAGCACCTCGGTGGCTCCCTCCTAAGGGCATTTCATACCCTGAGAAACTGCTGCAAACGAGGAGCGCACCCGGGCGGGGAGGGATGGAGTCGGAGGTGTGAGACAAGCAAGGCGAGGAGGGCTCACATTGAAGGGAACATCACCAGAGTGACAGGATGTGCACAGCAATGAGAGCCCAGGGAGCTGCTCCACACAGCCCCGCACCGACCCTAGGTATCTCCTTGCAGAATATAGATATGAACCTACCTAAAGCCAGCTCAGCCTTGACAAGAAACTGATTTCAGGTCTCCCTGCTTAGCCTAAAATGCAAACACAAAGAGGCTACGGAGCTTTTCACATGTGTTAGCTCAGCGGGGCGCTCGCCGGGAAGCGCCAGCCGTTCCCGCTTGCCCCGCTCCGGAGTCAGTTGCTGCTGTAGCTCCGATGGCTCTCCCCGATGAGCTGTGTCTTCTCAGTCACGTTAGTCGGCTGAAGCACAATAGGAGTTTCTCCATCTAAAGTGGGTAGGAAAACAATCATGTTTCACAACCACAGAATGCAGTTTTAAAGGAAATCCATTCAATATTTCATCTGTGGATTTGGCTAAGGCTAAATCTTGGCCGCCTTGGTGACTACGGCCCGCAGTGCAGGTACTAAAAGGAGAGGTGACGTCCACACAGAGCCCGCCCGTGCTCTCACACCTTGGCCACATTTAACAGTGGATTTCAGGGTGACTACTGGTGCTGGTGACTACTGGTGACTCCAGCTTCACCTCCTGCTCTGCAGAGATTGCAAGATAAGGGTCCCACTTGCCTGGGTGCAAGGGCTTCCTTCCTGTAAAGGTCTGAATGGAACAAGTGCTCTTGTGACCAGCACACAAGCACTAACCTTGGCGATACTAGCAAGTCTTAAAGAGCACAGAGTTAGCAGTAAGGAAAAAAAAGGAGATAAAGAGGAGAAAAAATATGTGAATAGTACAAGCAGTATAAAAATGCTAAACTGCATTTTTAAACCATTTAATGATATATTTACAATTGAATTTTGAGAACTATTCTTCTAATGAGTCTAGGACAGGCAAAAATTCATATTATCACTATATAAATCCTTGTTATTTAGTACTTTCTCCTTACGTTCAGTTATATATTTGTTTCTTTTCAATGTATCTGAAAAAAAAATGCATTTATTGGAGAGCGGGGAAAAGTTAAGCCCTGGCAGAGCCTCTAATGGCTCTTTTGTTCGCTCTGACACTGGGCAGGGTCTGGGTGCCTTTCTCCTGGGGCTCCTTCCAACCTGCCCTTTGGAGAGAGGGGCTCCGTACTCAGGGATTGCCTATTAAAGATTCAGCAATCTCAGTGCAGTACTTTTAGATTAAAGATCTGGATTTATCTGTCCCCTAATTTTAACACAGTCTAATCATTAACTGAATTTGCATGATGACTTATTTATTTTTGGTTTTCCAAATGACTGAATTTTTTTAAAAAAAATCCTGTCATTTCCTCCTCTTTACATGATGGTTGATGAGATGAAAGCTGAGCAAAAGATGTTATGTATAGGAATAACTTAACCCCGAGCAGAATCTAGCTGTACACCATACGGCTTCTCCTCAGTGGGGGTAGAACAACTTTGACTGTCAAGGTGAAAGGCAAGAATGATTAAATGCCAAGCAGCTTCTCTGTATGGGCAATTCCGTATTTAGACACAAGGTCAAAGACAGGCATGTTTCGTAACTTCTAAAAGTACATGAGTAATTAATGTTTGGAGCTCAGCTCTGGTTCAGAGTAGTTTGACAGTTGCAATCCATTTTTAAGCTGCTAACTATTTCCTAGGTTTCTGAGCAGCGTTCCCTCCCACCTTCCACTGCCTCCGAGCTACTCTTTTTGTGGAAGATCATTTATAGAGTCTACTCAGTTCTCCTGTGATACCCAGATGTGCAACAAGCCAACAAGACCCACTGAAAATGTGTCATGTTGCCTCCAGCTCATCTGCAAACAGTTCACTAGACACCATCCCAAAGTTTTGCTCTCTTCCAAGATTTATGTGTTTTTTTTTCTTTTTTTTTTCTTATCAGAACAGGGACGTACAGTATAATAAACTCTACAAATATAGGCTGTTAATGGAGAGCTGCAGAACGAAGGTGTGGCAGAATTCACAGTTGAAACTGTTTTCTGTAGATAGCTCTTGCTCACTCTTCGCCTACATTGGTATCATATGGAGTGCGGAGGAGACAATAAAGTGCTAAAAACATATTGCTTCTGAGTTGGGAAAGTATTTTGTTACCTTTTTTCTTTTTCCTTTTCTCTTCTCCTCCATGATTTGATTTTCTGTAAAATGAATGTTAGTCTAGAAAGGTTTTGCTTTGTTCTTACAATGATGAACAGGAGTGCAGAACAAACCCAGCAAACTATTTGAGTAGATCAGTACGCCCTTAGGTACCAATGGAATCCAAATTTCAGTGTCATCTCATCTGGGATCACAAATGTCAACAAAGGGCTTCCCATTTTCTTTAACAGAAGCAAAATATTGCAGTCTCAGTTGCATGTGTGAGGAAAAACACCAAACAGTTCCACACATTCATGCCACAGAGAAATCAGGATATTTTCTCAGTCTAACTGGAATTATTCAATGCATGATGATTAAATTACACCATTGTATACTTATTTTAATATCACGTTTGATCTGGAAGTCTAATAAATGTCAAATTATTAATGTAAAGATGCAAATATTAGATATATTTTGGAAACTGATCATCCATTGCATGTTAGGCTTCAGCCCTTCTATAATCAGTAGTAGCGAAGAGATCACTGCAAGCTATGTGCAGGCCAGATCTTGCAAATCTTTCTGTTGATGATACTACCCGTGGAAGTAAATGTTGTAAAATGAATCCCATACAGACCGGTAGTCAACAAGCTGAGCATTAGAACTAGTCAAATACATTTCAATAAAACTTTCATATATGGAAATATGTCATTCCATCAGAATGGAAGCCTGTCAAGTGATTGTGCTGATTTCAGAGGCTCTCTTTTTATGTTTTAGGGAAAGGAACATTAATGTTTTGCTTCCCATTTCATTTTTTTTCACTAAGTACTCTTTATACTGTGCTAATTTGAAGAATTAAGTCAACTGTGCAAAAAACATCTGGATTTTGCTAAAAAGAAGTGCAAAGGGGTTTGAAAATTATCAGTACTGCACCCGTTCACAAGAAGTCCACATCTCTGAACTCCTACAACATGCATATTCCCCTTCCCATGTGGCACAACTGGCTCCCAGCAGCTTCCACTAAGTGCAGCAACAATTGATGCAGACTTGATGTTAACAAGACAGAGGCTGTTAACATGAGGAATTATGACATTTCATTGATATTGGATTCTTCAGAAAAGCAGTAACTTGAAAAAAATAAGCCGTGGTCTTGATTTGAGAATTTATATTTTATTCTTAGTAAAAAGGAAGTTCTGACTAGCAAAAGATTTATACTGGGGAACAGCAGGAAACACAAAAATTAATTACTAGCTGGATTGCTCAGCCTGTGGGCAAAGGGCATGCAAAGAATTTGGATCCTAATAGGAATTCCTCTTCCATAATGAAGTCTGCTGCAGGAGTGTTTACAGTCTGTTTCTCAATTACCTGGAGGTGCATTTCTATTATTTAAATAAATGCAGTCATAGGTATTCATTTCTATGGCACATAATTTGAAAAAGGCTGATGGAAAAGCCTAGATTAGTACCAGCCTGTGCCATTCTAACTCAGCTGTGTTGTTTTGACCAGCATCCCTAAGATCTGGGGAGGAGAATGCAGCCTGAGCCTATAACAATTCATTTTTCTAAACATAGTTGTCCATTTTCCCTTCAGTTGAAGATGCTCACTTTATCCTCCCTCACAAAAATTTTACATTTATTCCTGATTTGTTATTCTGCTTTCATGTTACTTTAAAATAAAGATAGTTCTATCAACTCATATAACTGTTTTTGGTTGGTAGGAATATGTAACAAAACTGATGAGAAGGGTGGAGAGACAGAAATTGCTTGTTTTCTTCAGGATCTATCTATATACTCAATACCTCTTTCAAAATATTTAAATTATAGAATTCCACATTCTATTAATATTTGAAACTGGTATTTTGCTGAACATTTTAAACATAAAAGAATGGCTATTGCAGTGATAACTTGTGGGAGTAAAGGGATGGGAAGGTGGTCTAAAATTACTGAGCTTATATCAAAAAATAGAGCAAGGGGTGAAAGGAGGAAGCAAACTTTTTCGTGGCACTAGGGAATTTTGTGGTGGATTTTGAGAGAAAGGAAAATGTCTGCCAAATCACAGGTAAGGCAGAAAGATGTTGAATTAAGGAATTCTTATCCTTTAAAGTTCATTCTTCATATTTCAAATTTGACTTTGGTGTCAGAACCTCATAAATACCAACACCTATTTTCAATTTGCATTTCCCAACGGGCTACTATCTCACAATATATTGCACTTATTTCAAATAATGCATTGCTCCCATAAAGCTTTCACTAATATTTTGTTGCCTTTGCACAGGCTGACTGCGTATGATCACTTTTTAAAATTACTGCACCTTGCCTTGATATGCCTCTAGGCAAAACCAATTTAAAAATACCACCACACGTTGGCATATCAGTTACATAAATAGCATTTGTTTCAACTACTACAAATGGTTTGTTACATATTTACGGATGAGTAAATTTATGTAAAAAGGGGGAAAAAAGAGTCTTTCTGCTAGAAGAACATGACATTTGCAATCTGGCAAATGCTAATTTAAGCATAATAAAACTCAAGAATATCGCAGCCTAGGACCTTCCATAGCAATGGAAATTAGAAAGGATGAGTTGACTGCTTAGGTCCTTTCTCCTAAAAAAAGCGTAATGCTAAATATAGATAATATAAATTTGCAGCTAGAAAGCGGCATAGCTCCTATCCTGATGCCCTTGTCTTTTCCTGCTGGAGTATGGATGTCTTTCCCTCATGGATGCAGGATGGCTGCATCTCTCAGCCTGTCCTGCAAACAGGCTACATCTCAAAGTTTTGGGAGGCTCCTGCTTCCACCGAGGGTAAAGGCAAAACTTGGCCTCTCATCAGCAGACCAGGCCAGGTCTCTGCTCAAAGTATGCAACCCACACTAATGCCAAAATAAGAAATCACCACTATGACCTGGTTTTAGCCTTTCATCAATTAGAACTTGAGAAAAGAGGCCCTCCCTCTGCAGCAGGGGGGTCCCGCTCACCCCACCTCCTCTTTGAGCTGGCATTAGCACAGGGCCTGTCCCACAGAGGCAGAGCAGGGAGTTAAACTGGCAGAAAACAACCCACTTGTTTGGTAGGATTAGTTTTCATGTGGATCGTATCCATGATCTGGCTCACTGTAAAGCAACAGGATTGACGCTGCCAGTTCAGCAAAGGAAGCAACCAGGTGTGGATCCTGGGTAGAACAGGAACATTAACTAGCTCAAGCTTGGATTTAGACTCAGGTTTTTGTGTAAACTTCTTGTTAGAAACTTTGCTTCTTTTCTTGCTGCCCTTGATGGATACAGTTGGTCCATTACAGTCAGAGATAAATTTTATATGTTCAAAAATAGAATGATCGTACTTATTTGGACAGATTAGATGTGGCAAGCAAGAATCTAGCCAGATCCTAATGCAACAAACACAGGATCTAGGATATGAATCAATGGGCTGTGTTTATGTGTCTAATCAAGAATATAACATTTCAGTGCCATAAATTTAGATTTTCACCAATGTGCAACTTGGAAGCTTTAGAYTATCACAGGGTTTCCTGGAGTGAATTAACACATTTCCACATTTCCATTGATGTGTGGAAGTAACATTAGTTTCATGAGAAGAATATCAGGGCTACAAGTTTAAAAGATTATTTTGAAGAGTTTTGCCACACAGCAAGTGCCCGTAATACACACCTCTTTCCATGTCCGTCTTAATTTGCTCTTCCAGATCCTCTGGAGACACACAAAACTCCTGCTCTTCCCCTTCTGGTGCTTTGGGTTTGCATTTTCCACAGCAACAGTTGAAACAGCAGCACAGGCAGCAGCAGCAGTAACAGCCCGTCAACAGGCCGCAGACTGCAAACAGGCCCTAGATTAAACAGAGTGGGGAGGAAAGCCCCGTGAGCAATGAGCTGCCTGAAACACATGGCAGTTGCTTACAGCAGAAGGGAGACTGTCACAGGAACTCAGATTTCCAACTGCTCTGCAGTCATAATTAGAGCCGGATTTTAGAAGAGTTCAACTGCCAGTCAAGTACCTAAATAAGGGCCACAGCTTCCAGAGTCCTTCTAACCCACCAGCTCCTACTTGACACTCGGGACCATGTTTACAAAGCGTTTGACAGTGAGCAGGCCCCCACATGCCGAACTCTAGAAAGTCTGTCTTAGCTAAAGGCCATCAGAAAAGAATTTCCAGGCAGTATGTAAAACCCCACCCACCTTAAAGTGACTCATTTTCATCTTAAAAATGACTCATTTGCCCAAGATCTTTTTTGCAAACACTTATTTACTGGCAGATTCTTGTCAATAACAAACGCGGGAGAAAAAGAAGCAAAGACCCAGATGCATCCCACATAACTTTAGGCATGGAACTACAGTGTCTAAATTAGGACTGCAGTCTCTGTGGGCTCCCCACATAGTTAGTGGAAAGTTTTAAGTCCTTCCAGGGAGTGATTCAGCCCTGGGAGGACTTGAGTTGCCTCTTGGAGATCTCTCTCCCCATTAGCCTAGGCAGGATCACAGAGGTGAACAACTCCKCAGGCTGAGGGCTTGATCTGGGGACTTTGGCAATGGCACAAGAACAAGTTCCCATCTTCATGCCCCTCAGCTTGTTCCTGCCCCAACGTGCGGTCAGCAGAACTGCTTGTGAGCAAGATCAGTGGCCTGATCCACATTCCAAAGCTGACGAGATTTTGCAGAGCTTTTCTTCATGCAAGTCAGTTCGCTGCTGGCTTCACAACACAGCTCCACAAATGGTGTGGAGGGCTGCGTGCTGTGGCACAGTGGTGGGATGGGGAGCTGGAGAGGGGACTTCTCAGGCTGACACTGCTGCTGGCACCTCCAAACAGGCAAGACAGCAGTCAGGCTGCTATCCTGCAGCACAGAGATAGAGCTAAAACCCAGCTTTACAGCAAAGATATCCGCCTCTTTTCCTTCACATACTAGTGTAAGAGCAAAGCTGAGGCAAGGAAGTTCCTAAAAGAGGAATCAAACCTGGTACATGGAAATAATGTGTGTGAAAAACTTAATGGTCAGCAGATATATTTGAACTGGCATGAAGGAATAGCCTGGCTATAGCATTATATTTACCAATGTGGATTGTTCTTTAATAATTGCAGTTTAACTTAAGGACTCTTGCCAAGTATTTGTTAMGTTCAGAAGAAAATGTGCTGCTGAAGAAGAAAGCAAGCACAAATGTCGGTCTAAATAACACTCAGTTACATATGCATAACAATGTTAGCATGTTATAATTGCCGCATCTTTGAAGTGAATAACATTATTTACATGCTTAATATTAGCCATTTATTTGTTTGCAAGTACAAAGCCAATGAAAATCCATTTTACCCACAGATGCATCTGAGATAGATATTTATAAAAGACAAGGAAGACTCAGACATAACAATTTAAAATGTTTAAAATGTTTTTTTCTTCTAACCAACTTCTAAACCTATTTAAAATCCAAGAACCCCCAAAAGTAAGCTATTTGATAGTTTATTATTTATGCAGTAATGGAGAAAAAAAATCCCCCCAAATTTCATTGACTGCACAATGATGGAGTGAAAGTACAAAAAAGAGAAAAAAAAAAAAAAAAAACCTCTTTGAGTTCATCTTATAACATTCTCATCTGTATCAAGATTTCTTGTCAAAGAAATTATAAGAAGAATATCAAGATATTCTTCTTATAATATCATCCATAGGTGAATKAGGAATCAGGTTAACACTGATGTGGTCAATGTACAGTCCTCATGGTACAGAGAGAATTGCATTTTGAAAAAAGAGTTAAATGACCACATGCCATGCTACCAGWGGAGAAATATTTAAAACTACAAAATAATACCCATTTTAGTATTCTAAATTTTCTATTTTAGTTTCTAACTTAATGTGCCTGCTAAGAAATCTAGTATTGCCCAAAATAATCATTCGCACTTTGCATTAATCCTTTCATTTGAGTTTACTTTTAGTGATTCATCTCTTCATTATCGTAAGATTTTCTGAGCATGAGTGGAAATAGTGAAAAGGCTTTACCTCAGCTTCAGTAGCTGAACAGGAAGATAACTAGAAAAAGTGAAGGTTGCTATTCTCTTTCAACCAGAATGGGGGAAAAAATAACAACAGATAAGGACCCAGGGATCATCTGCAGTCAGATTCAGACAGTATTATGACAGCCAGTATAAAAATCTGAAACTAATCCAGCATTTATGTGTGAGAGCAAAGAGATGAGGATTGTGAAAGAGATGGGGAAAAGATTGAGCTCGGCTTGACAAAACCACCTGGTGACCTGTTTATGTTTTGGAGGTGACAAGATTATGGGTTGGGGGAGAGAAACCATCTGTGGCAAGCCTGAAATGATTCTGTATACCCATTTTGGATTTTTTCTTGGATATTTTTCATGGAATTCTGAAAATACAGAAAGCCACGATTACTTTTTCTGGGACATTCAGTATTGCAGCTAATCTCTTTGCATTGCCAGCATGTAATTCCCTTCAAACAATCCACCCATTCCTCCTTTATCCACTCAGGGACTTACTAGGTTTTCTCTCTACTATGCATTTTTCTTAGGAATCTAAGCCACAAGAGTTATCTCTGTTTCTAGTCTTCTAACCACAGAGGACATTATACTTCGTAAAATCTTCATTAAAGTTTGAYGAGCAAAAGAAGAAATAAAACCAAAAATATGGCACTGTTGATGGAGTTGATACTGTTGCTCTCTGAGCTCTGAGAAGAAGATTCCTGACATCTGAGCTGTGGCACAGAGCCTGTAGAAGAAGATGAACAGACAGCAAACAAAAGAGGGATTCRGTAGTGGGAGAAACCGAATGCAGGAGGGAGTCCAGTTTGCGGCCAGAGTCAGCTACAGCAGCAGCAAGGCAGCCTCCAGGTCTGATTTTGAGGAGGCAAATGCAACTTTGCACGTGTAATTTAAGTACCAGCATTTTGCTCATTAGTTTCATTCCCTATTCTGCTTTTGAACAGTTTCCATCTYATCTCAGTGTACTCAGTATACAAATTATGGCTCTCTAGTCCACAGATCTGCCCAAATAGGACTCTGGTAAAAGGGGACTGTGGAGATAGCGAAACACTGCTCTGATTTGTGATGAAGATAGGAAGTCCTTACATCAAAATTGTCGTAGTATACTTAGTACACACAGTTTAGATAATTTTCCTGTTTTTTCTAGCATGGTCCTTGCTTTTCTGTGTTTTTCTGGGAGGAGATGGGGAAAGCACAGTTTTTGCACATTTGCAGTGCTGTTGGCTTGTCACATTTCTGTAACATTTCAGCACTTGCTGAAACACTAGAATTTGACAGATGTAAACACCAAAGGACAACAATGACATGAGAGCACAGGAATAAAACTCTGTTATTACTAGGGTACCCCATGATGTATTTTCTCTTGAGCCATATGCCAGTTTCTGATGCATCATTCTCTTCCTTTCTTGATGTCTTCTTCCACTCCACAGTTCTCACCTTTTCTTCCGCTTCCTTTCTCTCACCCCYTCACCAAGCGCCAAAAGGGCACATATATGACACCATAATCACACAGTGTTATGTATTATTATTGCTTACTTATGCTGTATGCTATATATAGCAAAGAACACAGCTAAATTTGTACTGTAATAACTTATTAACTGCTTGTCACATAAGTGGGACTTCTCATTTTTGAACAATGAGTCATTTTTATTTAGTCATTATTGAAAAGAAAGTCAAAATTAACCTGAGGCACCAGATTCAAATCTAATTAATGTCTGAAAATGTTACAAAACACACTTTCTGTTTAACTAAATTAAAAAGAAAAAGCAAACTTTCGCTATTAGCCCTTTTGCTGAGCTGAGGCTACATTCTGCTGCTGTCAGTTTTCCAGATAGGTTATTGTTTAATTTTGTTTCAATATTTGTTTAATATTGTTTTAGATTTTGATCTTACCATTTGTTAAGTCTGTAAAAAGACTGTGTTTTCCAGGACGGTATTTATAGATGTAAAGAGTGCCTGTGCGCCATATGCATTTTAGCATTTGATTTTTAATAGAAATATTGTTTTTTAACAGAAAAAAACAGCTTACCTTTGCCCACCAGCTTGAGAGCATGAAGTACGTGTTAACATTTTCTTCACCAAACTGTTCAGCCACATAGAGGCCTAATGATCCATATTTGTCATATATATTTCTCTTGGACAGATCTGTCAGTGTTGCATGGGCACTGTTGATCTCTTTAAATTTTTCTGCAGCCTCTGGGTTGTCAGGATTCTTGTCAGGATGATATTTCAGAGCTAATTTTCTTAAATGTGAAAAAAAAGAAAAATATCCATGTATGTTTGTGTATATACATATATATATGTATACAAATGCTTACAAAGTGTTATAAAATATTTCAGTAGGGACRTATTTGTTCTGAACAGTATGTTCAGCCTCTACCTTCCTTTTTCTTGTTTCTAATAGACACAGAAGATTCAGTGGAAAGAAAGTGATTCAAAGCTGAAAGAAATAATCTGGTTTGTAAAACAGCCTCGGAGGAGGACTGCATCTTGAGTAGGCGGGTTGTTTTCTGCAGGAACTGTAAATAGTCTGCTAAAAGAGTGGGCAGTCCCCTACATAAAATTATGAGATTTTCGGTATTAGATTAGCTGCCACTTGCTGCTGCCTTTTAGTAGTTCCCTAGAGAGAGGCCCCAGGAGAGGGCAGGGGCAGCAGCAGTAAGTGGGGATGCCCGGGCTGCTTTCCCTGGTGACTTCCTGTACCAGACTCTATTGATCAGCATCCAGAGTGACTTCCTCAGGGGAATATGTTTCATACTGACGTCTGTGACATCGGCAGCATATGAAAAAAGAAACGTTTCATAGCACTGCGGCTCATATGAAACTCAACTACCAGGTCTCATTTAACTAAGAATGGTAGAAACATAAACCATTAAATAGACCTTTCAGTATATTAAAATGCAGATTTATCACCTCCAAGTATCTCAGACTATCACAGAATCATAGAATCACAGAATATTCAAGGTTGGAAGGGACTTCTAGAGATCATCTAGTCCAACCTTCCCGCTCAAGCAGTGACACCCAGAGCACGGGGCACAGGGCGGCATCCAGGCGGGTTTTGAAGGCCTCCAGAGAAGGAGACTCCACAACCTCCCTGGGCAGCCTGTGCCAGGGCTCTGTCACCCTCACATTGAGGAAGTTCCTCCTCACCTGGAGATGGAACTGCCTGTGTTTCAGCTTATGCCCATTTCCCCTTGTCCTATCGCTGGCCACCAGTGAGAACAGCTTGTCCCCTTCCTCCCTGCATTCTCCCTTCCTGGACTTATACATRTTAATCATATCCCCTCTGAGCCTTCTCTTCTCCAGAGAAAACAGGCCCAGCTCACTCAGCCTCTCCTCGTACGGGAGATGTTCCAGTCCCATAATCATCTTGGTTGCTCTTCTCTGGACCCTCCTGAGAAGCTCCATGTCCCTCTTATACTGGGGAGCCCAGAACTGCCCCCAATACTCCAGGTGCGGCCTCACCAGAGCTGAGGAGAGGGGCAGGATCCCCTCCCTTGACCTGCTGGCAACATCCTCCTCATGCAGCCAGGATCCCATTGGCCTTCTTGGCCAYGAGGGCACACTGCTCACTCATGGTTAACTTGGTGTCAACCGGGACTCCCAGGTCCCTCTCCATGGAGCTGCTTTCCAGCAGGTYGACCCCTAATCTGTACTGGTGCCTGGGGTTATTCCTCCCCAGGTGCAGGACCCTGCCCTTGTCCTCATTGAACCTCATGAGGTTCCTCTCTGCTATCTCTTAAAAGAAGTACACTTGACCTTCATATCCAGAGATTCTGATCCAGCTTTCCTCCTAAGGACTGTGAAGACAGCCTTGTTCCTAAAAAGGAGTTTTGACAGGCCCACAAATAGAAAAATACAGAAAAATATTTCTGTCCTTACACAGAGCATACCATACTGAAAGCATTTGTGAAACAGGTGTTCCTATTACACTAAACTTTAGACTCTGTGTATTGATACTAAGCTAAGGAAGTGATRCATGCTAAAAGCATAAATTTTAGTGTGATAGTAAATTAAGCTTTTTTTTTTTTTTGCATTAAGTTTATCAACTGCATGTTTTATTTGCATTATTTAGTAGGTTTTAACAAAGGAAAGATTTTAAAAGAYCATATGAACCTGAATTGCACTGCTTATTGCATCAAAAATACCATATTTAAAACACAGGAAAATCTGTTTTTAATTGCCTATTGATACATATATTAATTTTATAAATGGTGTCTGCATTTGCAGAAACCCAGACAGAGATAGGGAAAAACACAGCTGCAGTAGAAAGGAATTATCTCTCTGAAGGATGAGGAAGGGATACAGGATGGAAGAGCATAGTAAGTTAGCACTAGTTCCAAGTACGCATCCTTCTTTGGGCCCGTCTTTGGGCTACTTTAATATTGTCCCCCTTCTGGGATAGTCCTTAAAACATTGGAAGATGGTTGTGAAGAGTTTGGAATAGTTCAGGCTGGTGTCCCWGCTTTTACTGGGGCAGTTTTCCTCCATACTCGCATGGATATGGAAGCAGATTCAAAGGAATAGTGAGGGCCTGGTGGCTTAAGGACAGTGCTGCAGAATCACAGCTTTTGCAGAAGGAATGGTTTGCTTCCAGCCACATTGGAGCAGTGGCGATGCGAGTTCACACATACCTGCAAATGCAGCGTAYACATAACTGTATCCCTTTGAAAATATCCACTCCCTCTGAAGAAGTTGACATTAAGATTTTCCAGGATACTTATTTAATGACTGGTGCTGACCTCTAGTGGCATCAAAAGCTAAATTCGCTGATTCCCAGCTAAATCAAGCTCTGTGGCAGTGACTGTGTTTTGTAAATATTCTGAGTGTTTTGAGTGCTAGCGATGCCCATAATAGCATATTATTTCTGTTGTAAAAGTAACATGTCCACATTTATCATATCAAATGTAATTTCAGGGTGGGGAACTGCTTAATTTTCCACCGAAGTCCTAGGACAGGATATTCTCCCAGTAAAATGCAATCACTTTGCTCCTGACTACAACACAGTTCCTTCCTTGGAGATACTCTGCCAATATCCAGACTGAGATGTGCCTAGCAATAGTGTCTGCCAATGATCTCCTTGGGTTTATATACTGAAATCAAGTCATCTTCTCAGAAGTCTTAAATAGCTTCTTAAAAACGTGCCTCTAATAGAATGAATTGYTCATGTTCAGTCATATTTAATATACTGTGTATGTAGTATATTAAATATATAATAAAAACGATACAGGAGAACTGGAAAAACAAGTCAATTCTTGTATGACTAATGACATGATATGCCATCYGAGTGTTTGAGTATCTTATGCAATCTATCCCTTCTCTTAGCTGAAAACAAAACATAGCAATTAGAATGCAAAAAACAAATGAGAAGTATTAATTTCAAAACTCTTGCTTCGTTACACAGCAAGACAATCAATCACTGGCCTTTGTTATTATGGCCATAACTGAAAAAAAAAAAACATTGCTCTCTTCCTAAGATGCCAAATGCTTGCATAAAAAGGAAGATTTTGAGAAAAAAAAGATTTTGAGAAAAAAAAACTCTGTACAATACATTTAAATTAGCCTTGCCTAATTGCCTAAGGTGAAAACTGTCTTAACTAAAAATATTATATTAACCAAAAAACCCTGCTTGCTCCAGAAGGCCATACTAAATAAATGATACATTATTAATGTGAAAAAATATATAGACTGCTAATGCAATTCATWTATATGTGAGAAAGTTCGTTAGCTCCAGATCAGGAAAATACAAAACACACACAGGAAAAACTGAATGCTACATAAGATACCATATATACAGAAGTTCCCTGTGACTCTCCAGAAAAAAAAAAAGAAATTTCTACCACTGCAWTAATGACAGTTATGAGCAGAGCACAATGAAGAGTGTAAACTAAGAGAACAAAATGAACATAGGGTGTACTGCCTCTCCCCAAACGATGGCTCTTATTTCCATGGGGCACTTGCCCTGAACAGACCCCTGTCTTTGACTAGATCAGAACCACAGCAACAGCAGCCAAGAACATACAGAGTGCAGATAAGGGAGAACAAGACTAAAGATAGAAATTAGCTTTTCCAGACAGAGTCTACAAGTCTAGTACAGTCCAGGATACACAGAAATATGTTACAAGACTACACATGGTGTCATGGTGCGTTACGGAGAACCTGGCAKACTCAGGCACTCTGGAAGAGACATGGAAGACACAGGGTCTGTCGAGCTAAAAGAAGGTTGGTGTCTGCAAACATCAAAACATCTGCCCTCATGGTGTGGAGATTTTGAGATCACAGAGGCAAGCGTGGACAAGGCTGTGCAACTGGAGAGAAGGAGGCATGAGAAAAAAGACTAAAGCAAACGGAATCTGAAATTAAAGGAGCATCATCTGTACAATCTCTTTTCCCCACGAGGACACTCGAGCAGAAGGGGAGGCCGGCAGCAGGTGGTAGCAGGCGCATGGTGCAGTTCTGGAAAAGGCAGCTGCAGAAAAGCTGATAAAGAAATGGGGCTTTGAGACACAAGGAT